TCATTTTCTTCAGCTCCTGAATTCATCAGGTTTACAACAGACTGCACATAAGAATCTGTTACCTTGCTAGTATGAAATTAGGATTCAGATACTGATTTTTATAAAAGGAAAGAATAAAATCCAACACAGAAATACAAATAGAAAATACTCCCCCGAGTGGCTACACTTCTTCACTGTAAGCTGCACTCAGTGTGCAGCTATTTAGACTTATTTACATGATTCTAATCCTCTTATTTCCTAATCAAGATCATTCCAATAGCTTTGCATTTAGAATTCCAACTGCATTATACATTCTCAAAACCATTTCTTTGTCAACATTATATTGGTACAATTATATTTGCCTAGGGATTAAAGAACTTTTCATTCTTCTTCTATCCTAACATAGTTTATCTCCACCCAAGTTGGATTTTAAAGTTTTATGTGCCAGTTCCCTCACAGCTAAAAGAAATCATCTGTATGTCTGTATGTTGTCTACTACAGTCTTCTCTGATTGGTTATTACTTCACTATTTAGAAGACGTATAGGGCCGGGGAGATGGCTCGGTAGAATAAGCACTTGCCTAGCAAGCACAAGGGCCTGAGTTCAAGCCTTGGTTCTGCAAAAAAACAAAAACAAAAACAAAAACAAAAACAAACCAAAACAAAAAACCCCCAAGCAAACAAAGAGGTATGCATGGTTTGTGGGTTTGGGGTTTTTTAAAACATATTTTTTTCCCTTTCTTTTACTGCTCATCTCTGAAAAATTTCATCCTTTATTAATAATGCAAGAATTAGGTTGATAGGACAGATGAAAACATGTAAAAGCTACAATGAGAAACTTTTCTTTCTCTTAGGAAAAATGTACTTGATATTTAAAAAGGCTATATTGTAGGAGTTGACTACAGGAAAAAGATGATATAAGATTTCAAGTAACTTTAAGCAAATCATGCATTTATTTGTTAAGAAATATTGAACAACTGCAATAAAACATTCTGTGGGAAAGGTAATGTCAAGGCATTTAAGGCTGTACAAAGATTCTTAGTGATAAGTCTCTGGCTCCCTCATTTTCTACTTAAATACGTATGAGCTATGTGTTTCTTGACTCTACAGTACATCATTTGGAATATGTATATTGATTAGGGGGTATTTATAAAGGTGAGGTAGTAGAAAAATTTGAATGAGATTATGTAATGAATGATTCTAGGGGATTAAGTACTTGTGCATTTTGGTCTACACTTCTGTTCACCTCCCAAATTGATCCTAATACTTGTTTTCCTCTCAGCCAATATCTTAAGGGGAAACGGATACTAAAGTCCAGGGGTGGGCCTTAGTCTTCAGGAGTAAATCTATACCTTTTCTAGTGAGTGATTCTGAATCCAGGACTAAGGTCCAGGTGATTGGTTCAAGAATGAGACACTGAGAAGTTTGCTGAGAGTTTCTGAGAAAATTTTTCTCAGAGAATCATCTGAATTCCTGGGTCCTCTTCATCTTCACATTATTGTCCACAAAGATGAGGCTGGGTTCTGGAAGCTGTTTCTGACCAAGAACAAGGTAGCAGACTTATGGCCTGGCTCAGCCATGCTTCACCTCTGCCCTTCCTGGAACGGATCAGTCTGTTAGCCAATGAATACTTTGAGTTTTAGGCACTTTTAAACTTCAGGTTTCTGCTTCTGGAAGCCAAAACAAACATTTTAACCTATGATACCTGTCTCAGTTACTCTTCTCTCATTGCTGGGACAAATACCCAACACTCAAAATGAAGGAAAGGAAAGGTTTATTTAGCTCACAGTTACTGGAGATTTCAGTACATACTTAGCTGGCTCCAGGGCTGGCTGGGACATGGCAAAGGGCAGCAGTTCATGGTGGCGGAACAGCAACAAAGGCAACAGAGAGAGTCTATCTCTGTCTCTCTTATATAACATTCAGGCTCTCTGTCTCAGGCTGGGGTAAGTACACACACCCATAATCTCAGCCTTCAATCACCTATAATCCCAGTGGATCATGAGTTAATCACAAACTCTAGATGTCCCCGTCCCATGACTGCATGAGGCTTTGGGGGGACAGCTAGACACAAACCATAACAATACCCAAACTTCTAGTTCCTTAATGTTATTTTTTTAAAAAAAATCTTTAAAGTCTGGAATATTTTTCTTTTTTTTTAAATTTTTTTTTTAATTCATTGTGTGTGTGTGTGTGTGTGTGTGTGTGTGGCCAGCTCAGCCCACCAGGGGGCGGGGCTGGCTGGCATGTGGTGCTGGGGATTGAACCGCAGTCGCTGTGCTTTTGCTTAGCTTAGCTTGTTCTAAGTAGGTGCTTTAGACCACTGAGCCATCTCACCAGCCCTGGAATATTTTTCTGATTATAAAAATACATGCTCATTATAGAAAACAAAATATTGAAAGACACAAAGATTAAAACCATAATCCCATTTTCTGTAGCTAACTACTACTAATGTTTTAGCCTTTTTGCCTATTTACAAATTTATGGTTATGTTTTACATATACAGCGATACCTTGGCTTACAAACTTGATTCTTTCTACAATTCTGGTTGCAAATTGAGTTGGATGATAATTGAATTAAATTCAATGGTTAGGTTCAATGTTGACCATAAGAGGAAATTTGATTCAGTTTCATCCAGTTCAGTTTACAACCAGTATTGTGGAAAGAACTGAGTTTGTGAGCTGAGGTACCATTGTGTATTTATTCCTCTGTAATAAAACCCAGAGTCTATTAAAAAAATAAAAAAAATTAAACAGATAAATATCTGGGACTATGGATGTATACTGATTATTAACCTGTTATTATGATTTTCTGATCCATGAATTGTTTGGAAAAATAGAAATATAAAGACTCATTGGTTACCTTTTAGTAACTCACTTCTGACTTAACTGTATAGTGGTTAGATAATGTGGTTGTTACAACAACAAAATCCTTAGCTATCTAAAGAGACTTGTTTTAGGATCTACTATGTCCAATTTTTGTAAATGTTTCACATATTTATGGAAGGAAGGTGTATTCTGAAGATTTTGAGGCAAGGTTCTATATATCTCTACCAAAATAAATTTGGTAATTTGTGTTATTCAACTATATTTTTTTAATCCTCTCAGTATTGATCAGCTTTTTGTCATTTGGTATAAAATACCAGAGAAGAGCAATTTAAAAGAAAGTTTCATTTTGGCTCATAGTTGTAGAATTTTCATTACATGGTTGGCTGGTTCCATTGCGAGGCAGATGCTTAGACCACTAAGCTATCTCTGTGGCCCTCCATTGCCATAGTTAAAGCAAACACATCATGGCAGAAGGGTGCGTTGGGCAAAAGCTGCTTGCCTTGTGGCAACCAGGAAACAGAGACAGGGAAAGTGAGAGTAGTTGGGTCTATATAGCCCCAAGGTCAAGTCCCTTTCCTATTTCATCTCCCAACAATGCCTTCAAATTATGATCGATTAATCCATTAATCAATGAATCCAGTTGGAATGCTCATGACTCAATCACTTCCCAAAAAGTGCATTTGCAGGCAACCAAGACTTCAGTACCTGTATTTTGGGAGTCACGTCAAAATCAAACTCATAACACTTTGATCTAAGTATTGGATTCCTACAGCCACTCTAATAAATTATAAGTGGGTGGCTTAAAACTACAGAAATGCATTTATTCTCTTAAAGTTCTGGAAGCTAGAAATCTGAAGTCAGGGTATTGTCACTTTCCCTTTGGAGGTGCTACAGAATTCTAATTTCATCTCTTCCAGGATTGGATCACTATTTCTTGACTTGCCACACATTACTCCAATTTCTGGTTTTGTGGTCACTTCACCTCTTCCTTTTCATCCCTGTCTTGTATAGGTCTCAACTCTCCCTCTGGCTTTCTCTTAGAAGTATACCTGTCATTAGATCTTTGGTCCACTTGGGTAATCCAGGGATCTCAAATTTTCAATTTAATTATAACTGCAAAGATATTTTTCCCCCAAATTTTGACAAATGCCAGGGATTAGGACATGGAACTATCTTTTTTTCCCCCCCAGGGGAGCATACTCAATCAATTTCAGGCCATTAAGAGATATGAAAATGGGGTCAGCCGGATAGCTCAGCGGAATAAAGCCTGCTTAGGCAGAGTGCAGTGGCCAGGGTTTGATCCCCGGTGTGCCCATAGGGCGTGCTGAGATGGTGATTAAGACTGGGTGTGGTGACACGTCCCTGTAATCCAGTGGGGAGGCAAGATATATGAAATCACATCCTCTTATGGTGGTACATCTTTTATTTTTATCAATTTTTTGCTTTATATATTTTGTGGCCATGCTATTTAGCGACACATTTATAATTTTCATATCTTCCCTGTGTATTGGACCCTTTATTACACCATGACCTCTAGACACACCATCTGAGTCTTTAACAAACTATGAGTTGCTTGTCTGAAAAACAAAACTGTCACCAAAAAACTTTTTTGTATCCCTAAACATCCCAAAGCCAGAGAACAGTGAGCTGATTTAAAAAGTCATTGATTAATATGGAACAACACTGTCTAAAATTAAATCATTCCAAGTGGTTAGTAAATACGTTCCATTAAATATATTGGAGAACAAATTGGGAAAATATATGTGAAGCTCAAGAAAATGTGGCTCCTTCAGTATATCAAAGTAACAATTTCTCACTGCACCCTAATTACATACCTTGTAGATTTGCTACCAACTTACATGCAATTGAGAGTTGTTTTAGACAACTACTTTATCATTCTTAGCTAAGATGAGCTCCAACAAATAACTATAACATACTTCTCTTATACTATAATTTCTGGATGCAAATTTATTGAGGAAAAAAATGAAAAGTTTTTTCCTTTTTGATCCTTAAGAGGCATGCACCTTCAATTTCTAGTCAGACTTTTCACACAGTGCAGGAAGTTTTTTTTGTGTGGCAGTACTAGGGATCAAACTCAGGACGCTGTCCCGTGTGAAGGAAGTTTTAGAAAGGACTTCTGGCATTAAAAAAGATCTCTAGCTTCAGCGTACAGACTATAAAGAACTTTCAAAACACTGACGAAGGCTTAAGTGCACTAGCCTAGCCAAGTGGAAACCCCAAATTCTATCCCAAGGGGGTGGGGCTGGTGAGTCGAGTACCTCAACTGCATTAGTGTCATTTCTCCACCCGGTCCTGATTCGGTTTTCATTCTCGATTTTGGGTCATGGGGTTTAGGAATGGGCCTGCGAACAATCCACGGAAGGCCTTCTGACCTATTTATGATCCGACTCCATACCTCTGTCCGCAAGCAAAGGCTGGGACTACAAGGCACGCGAAAGTACAGAGCCCGGAAACCCCTCAAACGTGAGAAAAACGCGACCAACAGCGACAGCCACCCAGATTTGCAGGAAGGCTCTCGAGCGCCTCCCTCTCTCGCTCCTCGTCGTCTTGGTTACCCAGGCGCGCAAGCGCGCACCAAACTTCCTTATCCTTTGAGGCGGGCCTGGGGGCGGGGCCAGTGAGAGTTTTTTCCGGGCTCTGTCGCCCCCACCCTTTGCAGAACGAGTGAACCTCTGTCCAATTGCGTGGGGGTGACTCACAGCTCCCGCCCCTTTTCGCTCCGCTTTCCCCAGGCGCTTCCCCCGCACCACGTGCCCTCCTGGCCGCTCCCCCTGCGCCCTCTCCAACCTGCTGTTGGGAGTTGCCGTAAAATGTCGTGAACAGCGCTGTTGCTTTACGGCTGCCTCTCCCAGGACGCGATCTCAGGAGCGCCCACCTCAGCCGCCGGGTCCTGAGGAGATTCGGCCTGGCGGAGAGCGAGAAGTCCGGCGAGCCGCTGCCCTCCCCGCAGCACCCATCCAGGACCCCGGCGATGTGAGCTCGAGCCAGCTGCGGTGCCCCCTGGCCCGGGGTTGAGACGGGCGGCAGGTGCCTGTGAGGCGGGCGGGTGCCGGGGTCGACAGGATGGAGGAAAGCATGGAAGAGGAGGAGGTGCTCATCTACGAGGCGATGATGGACGACCAGAACCACAACAACTGGGAGGCCGCGGTGGACGGCTTCCGGCAGCCCCCGCCGCCCGCCTCGTCTATCCCCGTCCCGGCTTGCGAGTCTCCGGGCGGGCAGCTGCTGGCGGCGCCCGCGGTCTCCGTGGACAGGAAGGGCCCCAAGGAGGGGCTCCCGATGGGGCCGCCGCCGCCGCCGCCGGACGCCAACGGGGTGATTATGATGTTGAAGGGCTGCGACGCGGCCGCCGCCGGGGCTAAGACGGCCCCCGCCTCCGCCCCCAGCTCGACCGTCAGCATCAACACCTCCACCTCCAAGTTCTGTGAGTCCGGCCTTTCCTCAGCAGCCCCGGCTCTCCTCCCCACCCGGACGCCGAATCCGCCCTTCTCGAGCAGCCCCTTCCTTTGTTCGGCCCGGGTCTGCTCCCCTCCCCCTGGCGTGGCGTCCGCGCGCGGCCCTGGCGCCGAGCATAGCCGGCCGGGCGCTGCAGCGGTGTGCGCCGGCGGCCCCGAGTGCTGCTGCTGCTGCTGCTGCTGCTGCTGCTGCTGCTGCTGCTGCTGCTGCTGCTGCTGCTGCTGCGAGCGCGCTCCGTGCCGCGTCTGGCTCGCGCTCAACCTTAGGAAGCGCCCTATCCTCCTTCCCTCAAAAGTTTCGCCCTCAAAAGTGAAGGGAAGATGCGGCTGCCTGAGTTTCCTCAGGGAAGGGCCTTTTTAGCCTGAGCCGCCAAAAAGAGAAAACTGTGGTGACTCGTGTTCTCACGCTGTTACCCAGTCGTAAGTTGAACAAGTCAGAAATTTGAAAGTTGACCCACTACACCTGTTCTTTTCCTTCTCCGTGCACTTATGCATCCTAGTGGAGACATGTATGAGCGGCTTCCTAGCCGTGGGAGCTGTGATTTCCGCTTGAAAGCTGACGTGTAACATCACTTTTCATAGCCTCTGCTCGTAAGAATAAGCAACTCAGCACGTGTCCAAATCCAGGATTTTGTTGCGTGTTCAGTTTCATTGTACTCTTTAACGGTTGCCGGCAGAAAGAGTTAAGTCCAAAATTTGTTTTTTAATCTACAACTGTCTCAGGGCCTTCAATAGACAGGGGGAAAATACACTTTGGCTCTTTTCCATCCATGGTGGTTAGGGTTTTTTTTCTCGTTATTAACTTTTAAGTTTTGAATGGCATGTTGTAAAGCAACTGGAGATTTCATTTATAGGTACTGATTTTTGTCAAGCTATACCAATAGTTGCCTTCTTAGCTGTACAAAGAAAATAATTTGTTTTGATGTGGATGCATAGTCACAACCTTACACAATTTTTTTTTTTTTTTTATGGGCACAGCACACCACCTTACTTGCCTTCAAGATACTGCTTTACTCAGGCACGGATGTGTATTTGTGGTTGATAGGATTTCTATACATTAGAATACTGTTCATATTTGTCTTGAAGGCTATGTTGTGAAACTAGACCTTGTGCAAAGTGGCAAAGTGACTTATGTAAATTCTGTACAAAGTTTGCATTAGTGTTGAACAAAGTTCATTTGAACAATTAAAAAAGCAGTTAAGAGCACAAATTAGTGAAGCTGAGAACAAAATTTGCCAAACCAAAAGATAATTCTTTGAAGATTAATAAACTAGGTAGACCTCTGATAAGATTGATGAAGAAAAAAAGATACAGTATAAGTAAAATAAGTAGAAAATGGAAAATTAGGAACACAAGGTTTTTTAAAAAGAACACTTAATTACTATGTGTCAATAAATTTGAAAGCTTAGTGTAACTTGTAGAACAATTAGCAACTGTGAAAGTTGGTATTAGAACAAATAGCTTGAAATAATATTTAAGAAACTGAAGTAGTATTTTTGAAAACTTTCCCTTTTGAAAACTGGATCCAGATACTCAGATATCAAACTCAACACTGCTTTTTTACGTGTTATGGAAAATAAGAAAAAGATGTTGAACTTACTTTATGAGATTAGAGATATCTTAATTCTAAAACTAGTTAAAAAAGTATTGTGTTTCACTTATTAGCATGGAAATTAAAAATCTCACACAATACCAGCTCATCAAATAGAATTATGTGTTAAAGGAATCATAATCCATAGTTCGTCATAGGAATGTCAGTGTAGCTCAACATCAGTATTTCTATTAATGTAATTTCTCATTGATGGAAGAAAGAAAAAAACTGTGATTATCTCTTTTTTTTTTTCTTCTTTGTGATACTGGGGATTGAACTCAGGACCTGCGCTTGCCAAGCAGGTGCTTATGCCTCTGAGCTATCTGTCTGGCCCAATTATCTCATTTGATAAGATGTGGCACTTATTTATGGTAAAAAGTGTTGTCAAGGTAGGAGAATAAGCTAACTAGATGAAAATCATTATCAAAAATGTTCTGGAAATAATTAGTGGAGAAATTTTAGATTACATTTATTTTAAGATGCTAAGAAGATAAAAGATGACCCTATTACTGGTTAACGTGGTAAGAAAGATCCTGGTTACATCTGTAAGGAAGGATAATTTATAAAAGCTGGAAGGTAAACAGTTAAATCGTATTTTGCAGAGAATATGATTTATTAAGAATTATTGAAATCAATAGGAAGTAATGTGATCTTTTGCAAAGGTGAAGGGGTCCGGAGTTGGAGGGATGGGGAAGGGAGAGAGGGCAGGAGAGAGGAGATGAAAAAAGTGGGAATACCAGCTTCCCAGGTGGTGTATGATCCTCTTGTACTACTTACAGGTACTAATGAGAAAAAGTTGTTAGGATTAGAGTTGGAGAAGTTGTTCAGGTTTAAGGCCATCCTATGAAAAATAAGAATTATACAGCCCTAAAAGTTATGCAAAAATAGATACCATATTCAAAATAGCAAACAAACTATAAAGCCTCTAGAAAATAACCTGAGCATACAAGAACTTTTAAGGAAAAACTTTAAAATTCTAAATAAGGATCTAGAGGTATATCCTAAGGGTCTCTGCCCTTAATCTGATAATTAAAAACATGTTAATTTTCTCCATTTTAATCTAGAAATTCAATTTGCATGTACCATCAAAATTCTTTGACAAATTCAGTAACATCTAAATTTTATAGTAAGTAAATAAAATTTAGGAATTATATCTGTATGTATATATTTCTTTTACTATATATAAACTTAAGATGAAGACAGCATCATTTATCACTGGAGAGAGGGGTCATATGTTAGGGAGAATGGCTCACCATAAGTGAAAAAAACAGTCGACTCTATAAACAGGATGGACTCTGAATTACAGACCTAAGTGAAAAGAAAAACTACAAAGTTAATAGAAAATGTTGAAGAAACCCTTTTATTATGGGTAGGGAAGCACTTCTAAACAATTCAAAAGCCTACACAGGTTAAAAAATGACTTCACTTAAATAAAAATTAAAAATTTTCAGCAATGATGAAATATAGAGAGAAAAATATTGACAGTGCCTAAAATTGTCAAGGGCTTATTATTTCCCTAGCTAAGAGTACAAATCCATAGTAAAAGGGCATCAACCTCTAGAAAGATAGGCAAAGGATATTAATAAATAGTTATAGATTTTAGGCCTGGGGAGATAGCTTAGTAAAATAAGTGCTTGCCTGGCAAGCCCAGGGTCCTGAGTTCAATCCCTGGTACTGGAAAAAAAAAAAAAAAAGATTTAAGACACAAAGACACAAGTATTATTAAACAGTGTGGTTGGCCTATGTGCTCTTGAATTACTTTTTGTGGACCAGATAATAAGAGATAGCTAGAGGGCTTATGTAGCTCTGAGCCAAGATAGTACGGGCATAACTGGAATGTGAGATAAAAGCAGCTTTTGATGATCTTTGTTTTGGAAGTTTAGAAAACATGATGATTACGTATTACTAGGGGCCCTGTTGATTTCTCCTAGTGATGAGGCTGTATCTGGAACAGTTAAAATTGGAGTGACCACTAGAAGTGATTAAGTGTAATCTACAGCCTTTTTTCAAGGTGCCTCTCCTCTTTGGCTACATTGAAATTAGAATGTCATCTTCCTGGCAAGGGTAAAATCCTGAGTTCCATCCCTGGTACCAAAAAAAAAAAAAAAAGAGAAAAGAAATTAGAATGTCATAAAAATCAGTATCAAGTTTTTGAGGTTGGTACATCCTCTGTAGTTCTCACAGGGATGTGTTAGTTGTTGTTTTGATAGTAGGATGGGACACACCTGGGAGATTTTATTTGGGCGTTTCCTATAAATAGCCCTCCTCTATAGGTCAGGAAGCTGTATTGCCCATTTTCTCTTTTTTCTCCTTGCCCATTTCCTTCTTTCTATACCTTTTCTTTTCCCCTTCAATTTACATTTAGTATAGTGTACCCATGTTAGCTGTGTGGTTTGATGAGTTTGATCTCATGTAGAATAATGGGTCTGGGATTTGATTTTACTCTGTGTACTTGCAAATGATAAGCTTGCCTATTACTGTTATTACTGGATGCTGACAGAAGCTGGGAGACTCTTGGGTCAGAGACAGAGAAATATACTATTTAAAGCACAGTGAACAGCATAACAATTAGCATATTTGCATAAATTTCCCTTTTCCCCCAAGTTCCCTGAGGATGCTATACTATGTAGCAAGATGGATGTTCTCTTTTTTTTTTTTTTTTTTTTTTTTGGCAGAACTGGGATTGAACTCAGGCCCTTGCACTTGCCAGGGAAGTGCTTATTCCACTGAGCCATCTCCCCAGCCCCGGATGTTCTCTTAATGGGCTTGTGTTGCAGCTAAAGAACATTTGGGAGGGCCGGAGAGATGACTCAGTGGAATAAGTGCTTCCCTAGCAAGTGCAAGGGTCTGAGTTCAATCCCTGGTTCTGCAAAAAAAAAAAAAAAAAAAAAAAAAATTTGGGAAACTTTTTTTTGAGACAGGGTCTGTAGTTTAGGCTGGCTTTGAATTCACTTTATAGTTCAAATAGGCCTTGAGTTCTGTTATCCTGACTCAGCCTCCTTTTAGAGAAAGCAGTAAGCAAGCCTACTGTTTGTTTAGGGGATGATGCTATCTCATCTTTCAAGGTTACCAGGTACAGAAAAGCCTAGGATTGCGCAGGGCTTTGCATTCTTGGCATACTTAAATCTATAGGATTGTTGGAGGCTGGAGGAGCACTGTCTTCAGTAGTAACTACCATGTTAATCAAGGAATGAAGCAAGCATGGTTGAGCGTGCTGGTAATCTGAATCCTAGCACTCTGGGAAGCTGAGGCAGGAGGATTGCAAGTTTGAGCCCAATTTGGGCAACATAGTGACTTAGCAAGAGTTTTAGGTCAAAATATAAAAAAAATGGCTGAAGATGGGGCTCAATGTAAAGGCCCTAGGTTCAGTCCCTAGTA